GAGGTGATCTTGACCAAGCAGGTGGGAAGTGCTGGTGGTTGGGCCCGGGTGACAGGTGGGAAGACATCACTGGAGTCCTGGTTCTGCCATGTGACTGTGGGCAAATCATTTCACCTCTCCTGAGCCTCAGTTTCCCCATTTACCAAATGGGGGTGATGATAAAACACCCACCGCTCAGAGCTCCTGTGTGGTGTCAGTGTGACGGAGCTGAGACAGCCCTTGGCACAGAATGTGTGCTCAACAAATATCACTTGTCATTGTCACCGTTACCCCCCAGGCTCCCAGACCAGGGAACTTCTGTGTCCTGTCCACGGGGACAAGGAGGCCTTCGGGGAGGATGGGGAAGAGGGGTCTGACTGCGTAATGAGTGTGTGTAGATCTGATCCCGGGCTATTTGAGTCAGAGTTTCTTGGAGCAAAAGTCTTTGTGCTGCCAAGGCCTCGAGGGGTCCTTTGCTCCTCACAGCCGCTTTGTAGAACGGGGAGATGGGGGTCCAGAATGGTTTCATCGTGCCCAGGAGCCCACAGCGAGCTGGGGGCTGAGCCAGGGCTCGAATCCACCCCAGCCCTGGCTGCCTCCTTGGTGATTATGGCATCTGACCGCGTCCCCTCCCCCCTGCCCCCAGCCTTAATATCTTCCTATGACTTCCTACTGCCTCTGGGATCAATTCCAAACTCTCCCAGTTGTTCAGGCCAAAAACCTTGCATTTGCCCTTCACACCCCCTCTTTGCCTCACACCCACAGCCAATCCATCAGCAAACGCTCTCTGCTGCACCTTTAGATTCCAAATCTGACCCATGTCGCCACCTCTATCAACACCGCCAAGGCCCAGGCCCTCAGCAGCCCCCCACATCCCCCACCCCGCCAGACTCATAGGACCTTTCCTGCATGCCCCGCTCCCATCCGTGCCCATCATTTCAAAAGAGGCCCTCCCCCTTTTTTACTACAGCATTAGTTTTGATTGAAAATTTATATTTCTTTCAATGTGTGGTATTGGGACAAAAAAGTCAGCAACTTGAAAAAAAATTTAGATCTTTAACTTAGACTGTAAGCAAAAAGATATAACTCACAATATATTTGAATATGTCATGATACCTAGAAAAACAGAGTTTTAGGAGAATTTTGGAGAAGGCCTACATTGTTAAGTTTAGACGTACAATAAACATCTTAAAGTTAAAATTACTAGATTTAACAGGACAATATTTCTTATTTTTTTAAAATATATTTTTATTGATTTCAGAGAGGAAGGGAGAGGGAGAGAGAGAAACATCAATGGTGAAAGAGAATCATTGATCAGCTGCCTCTTGCAAGCCCCCCACTGGTGTCCGAGCCTGCAACCCAGAAATGTGCCCTTGACCGGAATCAAACCCAGGACCCTTCAGTCCACAGGCTGACGCTCTATTCACTGAACCAAACCGGCTAGGGCAACAGTATAATTTTAAAAGTATATATTTTTATTGATTTCAGAGAGGAAGGGAGAGGGAGAGTCGAACCTGGGACCTTTCAGTCCGCAGGCTGACGCTCTATCCACTGAGCCAAACCGGCTAGGGCAACAGTATAATTTTAAAACTCTTCATGCTGAAGGCAAAACCATCTGTATTAGAAGGCAATCAATTGATTATATATGACAGTATTTCTATTACTTGTCAATCAATGGCCCTTGGTGTCAGAAGGAAACTTGATTCAGCACACAGCTCCATTGTGATACAGCAGGACGGTGAAAACAGCATGGCTGGGAGGCAGCCTGGGGCCAGGGAGCCCTGGGCCAGGCCCCACTCTGCAGGCAGCTCGCTCAGCTCTGCTCCCAACTGGCCTGCGGTGCTGGTCGGTGCTGGTCGGCCCCACCTTGCTCTGGGCCGCTCCACCCTGTGCCACTCTGCCCTGGCCTGCACTGCGCTGCTCGGTGCTGGCAGGACGTCTTCCGGGTTTCAGCTCAGCCAGGCAAGGTCTTCAGTCTTCCATGGGAAGGGACAGCGCACGCCCAGAGTCATTCTTTTAAAAAGCAAGTCAGATCGTACACAGCACTGTAGGCGAGAGAAAATAAAAAATACAAAAAGGGGGGGATTTCTGTAAGAACTTTGAGGAACAGTGTAGATGTCTGGCCTTAGGTTCGTGGAGGGAGAAGGAGCTTTCTGTGCATCTCTCCCACAGCGTGGGCATTTACAAATATTACTGACGGGGAAACTGAGGCACAGGTGCTTAAGTCACTTGTAGCCGACCTGGGACTTGACCCCGGGCCACCTGGCTGCAGAAGCTACCTCCTGAACCATTCTACCTCCCTGCCTCTTTCTCACAGGTCTCTCTCTGTTCAGTCAACTTTCTCCAGGTATGCACCGTACCGCCCCCCACCCCCACCCCCACTTAGCTGCTCCTCGAGCTCATCACAGTGCATAGGATGAAGCCGATTCTATGCAATCATTTCTGCTTGAATTTAATTTTAGTAATTTCTCCCCTTCGTCTTCGCCCCCTCCCATAGGTACCCTCTCTCGGGTGCTGAACTTTTGGCCCCCAATCCCTCTTCTGTTCTTTCATGAAAATCCCTGTATATAGCCGTCAAGGTCATTTTGTCTTATACATGTCGTAAATCTGCACAAACGCCTTGGAGCCACAAACCTCCCTTTCTTCCATCGAGTTTCTGAGCGCTCTCTGCGTGGCGCTGCTTATTTCTAGTTCATGATGGGTGAGGCTGAGGAGGGCTCAGGGGAGGCTGCCGGGGCTTAAGTCTCAGCCTGGCTGCTCACAAGCTGGATGGCCTGGGGCAGGTTACTTAACCTCTCTGGGCTCCAGTTTCTCCTTTTGTAAAACAGAGGGTGTTGTCCTGGCTGGTGTGGCTCCGTTTGTTGGGTGTCGTCCTGTGCACCGAGAGGTTGCGGGTTAGATTCCTGGTCAGGTCCTATGCACGGGTTTCGGACTTGATCCCTGGTAGGGGGCATGCATGAGGCAGCCGATCAATGTTTCGCTCATGTTGATGTTTCTTCTCTCTCTCTCTCTCTCTCTCTCTCTGTCTCTC